CTTTATGTCCCTTTCTTTTTTCTCTTTCCAAATTTATTTCACTGGATTATACTCCTTGAATAACATCTTCAAACCCTAATTTTTCTGATTACAGCTTATAATTTTACTACATGTAGCACTACGGGATTTGAATCGACCACTGCATCTGTGTGCTAATGTGGTGTGGCAACTCGAACTGATGTACGTACGTACGTACGTACGAAGTTCTACGTTGTTACTGACTGACTGACTAAATGCTCACTGTAAAACCTAAAGGTCCTAGGCTAGATCTTCGGTGACTTTGCGAATGTACATTTCTGAGGAGTTCTATAGTGGGAAAAGACATTTGTCTTTAGTTTACTGGTTTCCCCTGATTTTCTTATTCTGGCCACTTCGTGGTTTAATATATTGACGTTTTGGTCCTCATGTTGTTGTTACCTTACTTTTCCATTAAATAACCATCTCTTCCTCCTTTCAATCTTAACTACAGGGATCATCTTTGAGCGGTGAGGAAGCAACTCGTCGTTGGACTAATGTACTCGCTTCAATCAATTGTCAATCAGCGGAAAATGCAGCTGTGGCAAGATTTTGGCAAGGTGCTTTAAGTCAATACTCTCGTAATAATATATGTCACTTACGTAAATGTCCAACCGCTACCAATTCAACGAATACATCAAGACGTGGTTCATTTAGCTCGAGTAATGCCGATTTAAATGCTGCTGTTTTAGCAGCTGCGACAAATTATCAATCGGTTCCATTAAATGATTAATTATCTGTATTGTTTTCATTTTTCTTTCATTTTTTTTCTTATCTTTGTTCTTTTATATTTTGTAAATTTTTGTTTACTTGTGTTTTTGTTTCTTTTGTTGTGATTGTTAATTCGTTTCAATTTCTCTCCGATATCATCATAATTCAAACGTTAAATTGTAGGTCAGATTCTCTTGTTCCTTTACATCATCACCATCATCATCATCATCATCACAATTATTACGCTGTAAATAAATTATCTATCTAGTTTTCTTACTCCGGTATAATCCATAATAATAATAGTCATGATGATGATGGTGCTGTTGCTTATTCGCTTTATGAGGTCAAATGCTTATTTACTGTTGCTTCACTAAGCTAACTAATTGTACCGGTGTATATATATGTCTTTATATATCACGCTTTAAGAAGTGAAAATATCAATCTGTCATTGTACTAAAAATATTCCCCATATAACTTACATATGATCAATCTGACTAATAGTGATCACTTATATTTGTCTTATCAATATTACTGTATATAATTCACTATGTTATTGATTGATCAGTTGTGATCATCATTTTGATGATCATTATAAAAAGCAAATGTTATACTTAATCTTGTTTTATTTGGCTTCATATATATATATATATATATATATGAGTTATTATTGATTCATGTATTTTTGTTTGATAACAACAACTTTACCAGTGTATATTTCATTATTCTATAGGTACCATGATGAGATAGATGTGTGATTTTAATATATTTCAATATATAAAACATCATCATTTTTATCTTATTTTAGAAGCCTTCAAATATAATTTCAAGATTATGCGGTTTTGATTGTCCGTCAGATTTGAATCATTATTACTATATGTACCTTATTTTTCTATGGATAAACTTGGAACGTTTTATTAAATTGAATGTTTGCCATATTTATCACACTTATACCTACATAATTGCTACTCTAGTCTAGATATTATGTTGTATAACAACAGTAGATTGAAAAAAAGTATGCAGTCGACAAGACTAGAAAAATTCATAATCTCATTTTGGGCCAGGTGATTTAGAGGACCTAATTTAGTTTGCGAGATCTTGCTATTAGGGGTATGAGGGCGGTTGACCACATCGTGGAAGGGTTCTTCTAGAGGTACCTGTAAAAGAAATAGGGTTAGAGGTGGTCTTAGTAACCTGAGAGCGTGACTGCAGTGCTCAAGGAACAGCTGCTTGAGGTCGGTCACACATGACCTTTTTATGAGTAATTTTTGTGTTAGCTTGTCGAGACCTTACCGCCATTGGCGGATGTCCGTGGGATAAGGTGAGGTGTGCATTTTTAGGGCCGACTTTTTCTAACCCCACTCTTCTTTTGTGGGAAGGCAGCATCGCTGTTATGCTAGTTGTCTGAAGGAAACGCCTTCCTGCTGTCACACCTCTGTACAGTCAGCAGTACAACTTCGCCCTCGAACCTTGGGTTTGCTACTTCTAGCCTTACCGCTCTTCAACCGACCTGTATGTCATGGCAGTACCATGAGCAACGATTGTTCCAGCCAGTATAGCTCGATTGGTTTTTAAGCTATTCTCGTAACCCCCAAACTAGAACTACACAGCGACCTGAACACGAGAGAAAAGGCGCAAAATATGCGAGAAGCACTTTACTCCAAAGGTTCGTTTTAGCACAGAAAATATAGGGTTTTCATAGTATTTTAGATGTCCTTGGGTTTACCGAAAATTCTGGAATGCTACTAAACATAGTAGCAGTATAGTAATCAGCCAATCAGAAACTGTATATGTGAATTTTCACTTTCCTAACGTTTCTGGCTAAACTTCAAGTGGAGGCTGGTTGAATAAAATGCTTCTTAGTGTTTCTTGAACCTTTCTTGTCTTTTGCGAGAAGTTTTCTGGATTACCCCAACAGCAAGCTCGACCACTGTGTCAAGGTAGCAGCAACGATCAGGCGTTTGCGTGATAGTTGTATTGATGATTAGCTCAGGAGACAACAAAAGTAATGTTCAATTGAATGTTTAAGGTCAAGTTCAATTGAGAGGCGATATTTTTCCCTCCACGTAGGCTGTAACATACAACAAACTAGAATTTGATTGATTTACTTGCTCTAGTTGACCAATTTCAACTTGTTAACACTACTAGGAACTGGTTTAAACGTAACTAACGTGACATCATTAGCAGGTCTAAGAATTTGTTTAGTCATCAATGTAAGTGATTAGTTAAATAATTAAGTTGAAGTCACGGTATTTATTAAATAACTTTATTTTCTGGATAAACATACAGAATCGTATTATATAACATGATCATAATCAAGGTCGAGAGAATATTATGTGATTAGTCTAAGTATTGATGAAGCTGTAAATCCATGTGATTAATTTTCGAAAGGGATATTTTTTAGATTAGTGTTAAGGAAGATGCTAATGAGTTCAAGTTCGTAAAATTCGATTCAAACGTAACAGTTGGATTGACTCCGATCATTTTCTCAAATCTACGACAATTAACGAACTTATTTTGAATTCTCATGGTTTAATATGTTGATCCTGTAATTGTCCATTCCAGTTCTACAGTGGTAGCTTAATACATCCAGTTTTCTATCAATAGATCACTGTTTCCAAACTTAGTTCACCAATTCGAGCATGTGTTGCGAGGTAGTAACACTAATCTTCACATATACAGTGCCTCATACCTCAGTATATAAATTCCTGGTTTGGTAAGTAATGGTTCTTCTTTTACATAGCCGACTTGCTCTTGTCACACCATGTGGGACCAGGTCTCCAACACACAGTCCTGGGCCTTCCTCTTCAGTTGTTCCTAAGCGCTTTTCATTCTTTTGATATGAACTTCGAATTACTGACGCAATGTATCCTTCGGTCTTTCTCTCTTCCTTTCACCATTACGGAATTAATCATATCCGAACACCTCGATTCCATTATCACTGCCCAAGTAGAACGCTGCAGCAAATTTTGCAATCATTTTTCACTTCTAACCAAATTCATCGTTGTTGAATTGTATCCAATTAGTATCGTTGGTCCATATTATTAAGAAGTCTCAAATTACTGTGAATATATTTGCTCTTCTTCATGTAGTTTTATGGTTCCCTGACTGGGATCAGTTTCTAAGGAAATCACAATCTATCCACGTAACTGCAAAAATTCCTTCTCACTAGTAACCATCCTTATGTTGATTATCTCAAAGCTTCAGTAGAAATGCCAGATCTGTCGTGTAAACCAAATAGGTATCAAAACATTTGGTGAGAGTCACGCTATACCATGGAATTATTGCTAATGAAATGAGTAATACGGTATTCTGACTCAACGATTTGAAGACTTTTGTTTGATATGAGATTTAAAGATCGTGAGCTATATAGTGTATAGAGTTGTAAGTGTACACCACTGCTAAAACAAACTAGGACAGGATGACTCCCCAATGCTCTATGATTGACATCAAGAAAACTATCACCATGCAAACTATTTATTTACATTCACCGCATATTGTAATTGGTCTTTCTTTAAGGAGTTAGTATTAAAAAACTGTTTGAGGAAATAGAAATCAAAAGATCTACAGTTTATTTTTTGATGAGTTCGAGTAGTTCCTTGTCCGAATCCCGATCGAATTGTAGGCTTCGCTGAATTTCTTCCGATGACACATTACATTCCCTTAGATACTTTGATTTATTTTATAAAGCTTATTATTTCCTTGTATTTTGTGTTTTTGTAATTACCCTAGTGTTTTTTTAAAATTTTAACTTATACAAGTGATTCAAAGTATCTGGATAGTTTTTCCGGTGCTCTGATTGCTAGTTTGATGTATGAATTGTACATATCTAATCAATTATTGATGCAAACATTAATTACCTCAGTAAATTCATCATTATTCGCGTAGGCAGTTTCACAATAGACAAACAAACAAAAAATATTTTCTTTAAAAGTTGTATGTCTATTAACTAGGATTAATGAGACTGAGCCAAGTAAGTAGTTCTTTACAAAATTCAATTGACTAATTCATTATCATACTGTGTAGTACATAATTTCATTCATTCATCATTTACATAGACTATATATATATATATATATGTGTATATATAAATCATATTTCGATTACTATCGTCGCGGATGCCAATTTATAAATGAATCTAGTCATCTTCTCAACCAATCAGATTTCAAGAAATGTTTTACTGATTTATGATTGGTTAAATTAGTTGTGATTTGATTGGTTAATACACTAATATATTAAGAATAAATTTGAATGAAATTCAAACATTAAAAAGTAAAATGAATTATTCATCATGTCAAATATGTTTATGCTCATTTCATATAATAAATATTTTAATGGAATATTTTATAAAATATAAATTTAAAATTGAATGTATCATTCATGATATTACTGATTATAAACAACATATTTATTCTATTGATAGTGAATTACATGAAAGGTAAATGAAATGTCGATTTTGTATTGATTTAATGATTATTGATAAGAGTAATCAAATTTCAGAAGGGGTTTTTCTGTGTAGATATTATAGCCATTTCAATAGTTGAAGTCATGAGTCGAATGAAGCTAGACCATCATGGAAAATCTGGAACTACTGGATGGTCGTTTCTTCCTAGTATGCGACTATTCAGCAGTGTACATCCATGATCCCGCGCTCGCGAGATCTGAACCCAGGACCTATCAGTCTCACGCACAGATACTTAACCTCTAGACCACTGAGGTATGCAACGGTGTTAATGTCTTACTTCAACCAATCCACAAAATTGAGCGATACATCCAACATTGTCATCAGTGAGTTACTATCTCACAACAAACCTGGTTGAAATTCACTGATCATTGCTTCTCACTAGAACTCCAGGAAATAACTATTGAAGTCATTCACTAGTAAGCACATGATGATTATTATCAGAAGGGGGGTTTTGTGGAGATCTTAGTAATTTTGTAGTGGAATTCATGAGTCAATTGATTTTAGATCACCATGGAAAACCTGGAAGCACTGGACGGCCGTTTCGTCCTAGTATGGGACTATTCAGCAGTGCATATCCACGACCCCTCACACGGGGCTTGAATCTAGGATCTACTGGTCGGTGCTGCAGTTTCGTGGATTGTTTGAAGCTAGATATTAACACCGTTGGATGCCGAATTACTGGTCTAGATATTTAGCGCGAGCCTGATAGGTCCTGGGAGTGGTGATGGGTGAGTGCTGCTGCGGAATGCCGTACTAGAACGAAAGGGCCGTCCAGTGCTTCCAGGTTTTCCATGGTGGTTTAGATTCAATTGACTCATGAATTCGACTATAAAATTGCAAACAAGTCAATTCAGGCATTCAACTAGTAAACAGCGCTTTGTAGTCTCGAAAACTAGTTCATCATGAATAATAATGTTTCTCTTACAGTATGTTCTTCAGTGCTTAGGCTATGGTGTGAAATAAAAATTAAAAAAGGAGTTTCTGCGACATGTTTTTCTTTATGATTTTGTTTCCGTTGGTTTTAAGGAAAGTTTTCTGATGAACACTTTAATTTGTTTATTCGGTTGTTGATTGAATCTGTTGAGATTCAGTTTATTTCGTCAGATCAACTCTATGAATATCTACTAGGTGAATTCTATTCTGTTATAGCCTTACAATACTTGGAATGAATGGGTAATCATTGTGGTTTTTATTTGATCCCCTCATTTGAGTAGCCAGGTTTTCAAGACCTTTTTAATAAGCATTAGATTCCAAACGGATTTACTTGTTAAGCAATCACTTTTATATGCATGTACGAAACTATTAAACCAATGAAGACAGTTTATGAATAATGTGGTGACAGGTGTACTGGTTGTGATAAAGAAAACTAATAGGAATACGTCAAATAACATTAAGTGACTTATTTCTGTTTACTACATGACCGCTGCCGATCAATGTGAAAGACCCGAGCTTCATCTTGTCTTGACAGTACCTTTTCCTAACCACGAAGGGAGGTGTTCACTAACTTTTTGGACTAGTTGTCTGGTAGTGCGCCCAATATAGCTTTCTCCACAGGACCAGTTGAATTCGTAAATAAACATATAAGTGGCATAACCAGGTAACTTATCCTTTAGTTAGGAAATCACCATAGATCGTGTCGAGTACGATAGACCGAGGTTTGCTGCATTAAAAGTTCTCTTCACTGCTCTAGCCAATCTATCACGTAGTACATCACCAGCTATATCTCCATTGAATTATAGATTCATGAAGAGAGGTTTCTTACTAGCAGTTAATGTCACTATTTTCTTGTTTGTTACACTCAACTGTTTCTTGAAGAAACCATGTGGATAACCAAATTCAATCAACATATTGTGTATGAACTCTAATTCCTTATCGATTGTATAGATTGAACATATTTTAATAGCTCTATTTACCAAACATCTGACTAAATTTCTCTTATAATGAAGAGATACGAAGCTTAAGAAATGTGTGTATTGGCTTGATGAAGAACTTTTTCTATATTACTGTATATTAGAGTAAAGCTTGATGAGGATCTAATCGAAAGCATTATTGTTCGCTTATATCTATGTTGTTCTATATTCATAATTGTATCATTATGTAACGAATTATTCATTCAGTTCAATGAATAATGTAATTCATGTATTACATTGATTTCCTCTTTGATAAATCTAAATAGAGACAGATGAGTAAATGTATGATCTGTTTATTCTTCTAGCCTTTTTTCTGAATGATCTGATTACATACATCAAAAGATCAAGTAACCAGGTAATACGAATGAACATCAATGAAACGTTCATAGACAATTGACATGATATTTTTAAACAAAGATGGATAATGGCTAGCAGTGGAATCCAGGATGTGCCTTTAATCCTATTTGCGACTCGTCAGCTGGATGTACCTGCATCACAGAGTTGATGTTCACTCTGGGGCTCGAACCGACCACCGTTCACTTTAAATGCCATAGCGTTATTCATCTAGCTACTAAGTCCTGATAGCCACCTGCTTGTGGGAAGATACAAGTAAAATAACACCAAGTGAATTTGTTATGATATTTGTTGTAGAGTGGGAATTTTTTTATTTGAAGTGGTTTTGTGTGTGTGGGGGGGTGCGACTATTAAGTAGGTTATATTTAGGGTACCATTAAAAACTGTGATACTCTAGACTACTGTTTCATGATATAACCCAAGATGTTCTGAAATTTCAATTGAAAAGTCTTAAACGACAAAGGTACAGGGATTAAAATATCTGTTAATATTAGTTTTGATCATCATTCTGTTTGTCGAATTCATCCAAGTTGAAGTTGTATCATTAGATAGATGCTCAACATTACTAAGGGTTAGACATTTTTTACGAAAATTGTTGACGCTGAGTTCGATTCCCGATTATGTTGAAGATGAACACTGCCGAGGGACCCAATGTTAGGATAAAAAACCTGTGACCTGGTTACCTTCATGTAGGTACAAAACTACAATGAAGTAACTGTACAACACCTATCTCTGTCCCCCTTGTAATGATTTATCAGATAAAATTGCTTATCTCATATTGTAAAATACCTCGGCTAAGTAATCCTTTATTATTGTTATTATTATTTATGGTAGACTTCATATAGTATGGTTGGGATATTTTTATGAATTATATGTACAACCAGATTCTTTATATGGAATAATGTGGATATTTAGTCCATTGAATGATAATTCACAAATTATAAAAACTAATCATATATGGTCAAAGAAAATTCCAGCAAAATTTCGATTTCATTGTTCTGTAAGTTATTTTATACTCATACTACTTATATTATGCTTATGTATGAGGATAATGATATTACGTAATGATCAATGAATGATGGGACTATAATTTATGGACGACCTTTGAGTGACGCTAAAGTGACCTTGAGGGTGTTCATCTAGTAACTAGAACTAAATGAATGTTATAAAACAGTGTGAGGAATTAGAATTATGATTTACAGCTGATGGTTAAGGTTAGAAATTAGATTTCGGGTTTTCATCACGAAATGACATTAGCCATAATACCAAAACACTATTTAGCCAAATGGATGAGTGAATCTTGCGCCAAAATCCGAGATCTGTTATCTTATACACGATTGATTCGTTTATAAATTATAGTGCCGCCCAATTAATTGTATATTTATATCTCAGTATTTTAACAGGTTCATTGAGGTCAGAATATCTCAATGTTAACAACTTAGACTATGAAGGTGATTGAGACAGGTTTGAATTGGATTTCATACAACGATGTAGTTATACTTCACTAATAAATACTAACTAATGAAATCTCAGTCTTGGGTTTCTTTTGCCGACAACTACAAACTACTTAAAATCTCGGACTATTGAGAATACACATTGAATAGATCTAGATAATGTTGCATTGACATCACCATAATCTAATTAGCTGATTCTTATACAGCTCATTACATAATAGATTAGGAAGACATTTTATAAGAACTATGTTGTATTTATGGACAAAACAGCGAAAATTAAACACTTGAATCACGCACTGTATTTTGACCAAATATTACATTTACTTTGAGTATTGTATCATAGTAACTAATTGTTCTGAACATTATCGAAGTCGAAAATCGTCTTATTTCGAAATATTTCTTTATATATAACATAGACATAGTCATATTGTAGTGAACGAGAACACACAAATGAGATCAACCGGATGTATGTGAATATAAAATTATAAGAGGTCAGTCGCGTCGCGGATAGCTCAGTGTTAACGTCTTTGACTGTGAAGCTGTGTGACACGGATTTGAATTTGTCTGGAAGCATAAGTTCCCTCATGATTACAGATACAACTTACTGATGAGTGCCTAGTAGCACGAAATCTAGGTCCATGATTACCTGTTGACTACCTCCGACCACCATCTTATCTCAACATAGTACACGCAATGATGACTCGCTTAGACTACTGGTCACATTGAAATTTGGTCGATAGGATCTGACCTACATTACATTGATCACCACTCAGTGATTAATCAGTTATAAATTACAAAATCCCTTGGTAAAATCTGATAACTATACAGTGAATACTTCATTTGCAAAATGTCAATCAATTGTCTCAAACGTGACTGCTCCTTTATTTACACACTAACCAATCTCTCTATCTTCGTTCTCTCTCTCTCTCTTCCGATCTTCTTAACCTTCTGCCGCCAGACATATCACTTTTAATTGATGATACATACTACTGATATCTATCGATATCAATAGCACATATCACAACAATATTAATATTTAAATGAATAATGCCAAATTTTCATTATAAAAACATCATTTATCATTTATAAAGTACATTATTAGATAAGATTGTTTAAATAATCTATACTGATACCTTAGTGATTTTAATTCTTTTCATTAAAATAGTACATTATTATTATTATTCAATGTACTGTTAAATAAGATTCATATTGAATACTTTTACATTCAATGAATCATAATTATTAAGTTATTAGTCTATTTAGAAGAAAATGTGATCTTCATTTTTGTAATAAGGAAGTGATAATTGATGTACTTTTAACAAGAATGAGTCTCAGAAGTAGAAGAAGACGAGGAAGAAAAGGGGAAGAAAAGAGGAAGAGGAAGAAGAGGAAGAGGGAGAAGAAGAAGAGGAAGAAAAAAGGAAGGAGTAGAGGAAGAAGAAAAGAAGAAGAGGAAAGAGAAACGGAAAAGATGAGGATTTAATTATAGCTACAAGATTTAAAATTATACAAAATCAATAACACTATTTATAGTAATCAGTAGTTTGTTACTCAATGTAATGGAATTCAGCTAATGAGTAAATTTTGAGTGAGTAGATGATAGCTTAATGTCATGATAGTGATAATTCTCTTATAATCAATGTTGATTATAATTAAGCTCTTTTATTAACTTACTTAACAGACAATTGTATTCGAACACTAGCAAGTCGTCTATTACTATGTGCTATTATGATCACACTATCATAATTGTATAAACGTGTATGCTTGATCCGTTGTGATAGCCCACGCACATATCTCTCTCTAGCTTAGATATTAATCGCTTAATTATTGCTTCATGAATCATTCTCTTTCCCATGTATATTATATGTACTCCAATCCTATTATTAGATTTCACCTAGCTGCCTAGCTGCATCTTATTCGATCTGACTATTAATTTGCCTTTGTATTTACTCACATACACATACACACACATTCGCCTACCTGCTTCAAATTCGCTTGATGTATTTGTAGCTTTGTGATACGTGCTATCCGTTAATAAACTGTATTCGCCGTTTGTTAATGCATTCTGATTTCAAATTTATATAATAACGGTTATCAAATGTGGTTGATTAACGAAGTTAAGCCACTATATCTTATCATAACAGATCAACAGTAGGATATATGTGTATTAAACTAATTAGTTCTAAGTAAAATGCAATATGCATTCCACTTTCTACTCCTCATCATTATAGGGAAGATCTGTTTATGTAAATTTAAAGTGACATAAAATCCATACATTACTAAACAATGTTAAATAATTATTATGGTTTGTACACTGATGGATTTCTTAAAAACATCTCAATATTGTAATTATTATTAATTGAGATCTTCATAAACCAGTCGACCATCCGAAGAAAGAAAAATGGGAGAGAAAGCAGTCTTCTCTGTCTCCGGTCCTCGTTTGGAATACATCTGTCCATGCACGATCTTACAGTTTAGTCCGTCATATGAATTCGGTACGATGTTGACGATTTTCTCGGCTACTCACTTCATAGTGTTGAATAAGTTCCCACAATGTTCTCTTATCCACACTGTCAAATGGTTTCTCATAATCAAGGAAGTTAATGTTTAATGAGGATTTCGATTGTTCAACGATGATCCGCAGTGTCACGATTTGATCTGTGCACAACTGAACCTTATAGAATACAACCTGTTGATCTCAAAGTTGAGCATCTACTGAGTCTTTCATCTGGTTCATCATCACTGTTGAAAACTTTTCCTGTTACTTATAGTAGTGTGATTTCTCTATAATTTTCACATTCTCTCAGATCTCCTTTCTTTACTATCTTGATGAAGTTTGACTGTGGCACTTAACCCTCCTTCCAAATCTTCCCGAATAAAACGTGGCGTATCTTTGCAATTACTTCTACGTGTGACTTCATTACTTCACCTGGTATGTTATCAAGTCCTACTGCCTTCCCACTCTTGATTTGTCTAATGTTCATCCTGATTTCTTTGGTTCTTATCAGAGTGACATCCACAGGATGGTCTGTAAGTGCTGCTTCAGTGTGCAGTGGATTCAGTATAGTTGGTCTATTCAAGAGTTCCTCGAAGCATTCTACCCATTTTTCCTTGAATCTCAATGATTGACTTGACTTCTTTCTTTTCCTTGATCGGTCCCTCTGGTTTAATATATTTCCCTACCAGTTTCTTCATTATATCGTACAGTTGTCTGATAAATATCCATTCAACTGATCACTGTTTGCTGAATAGAATAGCTTATGAAACTAAAAGGAGCACAGATTATCCAAATACAAAGTTTAAAAAATGAAGTATGCTTCAAACATTATACACGTAATTCAAGTGAATAACAACTAACATTTCAGTCTACTAAAATGTTAGGGAGATATAGGTTAGCAGTTTCCTTATTACTTACTTACTTACTTACTTACTTAATTTCTTACTTACTTACGCCTGTTACTCCTCATGAAGGAGCATAGGTCACTCACCATCATTCTTCAACCAACCCTGTTCTGAGCATTCCTTCCCTGGTCTTTCCTCTTGTTATTCATCCTCTTCATATCTGATTCTATTTACCATGGTAATGTGTTCATTGGCCTTCCAGTTTTCCGCTTCCTTCCAGGATTCCAAGTTATGGCTTACCTCGTGATGTGGTTTGGTGATTTGTGAAATGTATGTTCTATCCATTTCCATCATATTTTCCTAATTTCTTCTTCAGTTGGAAGCTGGTTTGTTGTTTCCCACAAAAGGCTGTTGCTGATGGTATCCGGCCAATGGATGTTGAGTATCTTGCGTAGACAGCTATTTATAAATACTTGTACCTTATTGATGATGGTTGTTGTAGTTCTCCAAGTTTCAGCTCCGTACAGTAGAACTGCCTTGACATTCGTATTGAAGATTGTGACTTTGATATTGATTGAAAGTTGTTTTGAGTTCCATATGTTCTTCAATTGTAGGAAGTTTCCTTATTAACACAAACTATTTATCATAATTTGTATTACAAGTTTTTATCTTTTCGTTACTCCATCTATTCTATTTCTTCTTTGTTCTTACCTTATTACATATTTAATAATGTGAATTATCTTTAAATCGCCCATCAAATTCACTTGGTATTGTTTACTTGTATCTTCCTGTTGTTGTCTAGGGTTGTAATTGGTCAGTCTCTTATTGACATATGTGAATTCTATACAGACTGTATCGTTATTGCCTTCAGTGACTTACATCTTGGAAATCTCTTGTTTCATCTGTTTATAAAGTTTTACAGTTTATCTATCAATAAGTGCAATGATTTGCTTTTTGTTTTTTAGTTAAATAATTTATACTACTTAAATTCTATTTTAGTATTGCAACCATATATGGACATCGAAAAAAGGATATATTAATATATTTATTGGTCATCGTCCATTAAACAGAATAATTGATCAATCCGGTTATATAATTAATATTTATGAGTTTCTATTCTCTTTAGATCAACAGAAATGTACTCAATGTAATTCGAATAAATTAATTTCAGGATCAACATATCCACATGAAGTGATAAAAGTAAGTGAAATAATATGGAAATAACTTTTATGATTTCTATGATTATAAAATGTTAATAAACGGTTCTATAGAAATTGTTGAATATGAAGTACCACATCAAAGACTAATGTCGCTTAGAACAAATGTTGAAAACCAAGAGATACTGAGTAGCTATTCCATCTTAGAATGGGGCCCCTTACCAGTGAACAACTACGACGCTATCGAGGACATTCAGCAATCATGATGGACGCTTAACTTATTGACCACCAAGTTGTCATCTGATGGTTTACAATTCCAAATTAAATTGTTTTGCAATATTGCATGATGGTTATCTATTAACACTAGTAATATTTATCTCAGATCCAACATGACTTAACCCCACTGTACACTGCGTCTTACTATAACTCTTTGAATTTATTGAGTCAGTCATTAACAAACACAAGGTAATTGTTATCGTAGGGTGTTTTGGAGACTGATGAATTGAAATTTCACAACAAGGACTGATGTTATGACACATACATTAATAAATTCATGTTATATGAAAAGACTGTTTCAAGGAAGAAAATTTTTAAAGTGTAATTTACTTATCTCACTTCATTATTTAATGATCAACCAGTATTCGTGTTATATCAGAGCCAAGATTAAATCAAGAGCATTAATTGACTAATATTATCTATAAATTCTTATGGTGTTGGTGTTCTGGACTCAAGTGAACGGGCTAGGCGTATATAGGACCAATAAGGACGCTAGGCTGCCCATACCGGTCGAAAGTCATTGGTTTGGCACAGTGCTAAGATTTGTATAAGTCATATTTTGATTGATAGATAAATCACGTGAGAAAAAGCCGGACATAAAGTCACAACAGATTGCTCATATTTCTCCCAAATTATAATTATTCAGTAGGTAATTTTTTAACTAGAGTTTCTTTCTGTTCAAAATGAGTTTTTCAACGGTTAAGGATTACCCAGTTGGAGACCTGCTTGATAATATCGATTTCAAATAGCTTTTACGGTGTATTCTACTAATGAAAAACTTGAAATTCAAAATTTTTTCGTTATATGAAAGAGTTTTAATCCTTGTAGTCTTTATTGGTCAACTTTTGATAGTTGAAGGTGATTAACACGAAGTTCTGAATACCTTAAGTTTTTTACTCTTGAAAGATTTTCAGCAAGAAAGAAACTAGTGCATTCTGTCGCGTTTCATTGAAACAATTAGAACTGTATCACGTATGGTTATTTAGTTTAGTGTGCAACTGCTTCATTGATCATTGATGATCAAGAACTGTACTTACTAACTTACTTACTCCTGTTACTCCTAATGGAGCATGGGCCGCCGACCAGCATTCTCCAACCCACTCTGTCCTGGGCCTTCCTTTCTAGTTCCATCCAATTCTTGTTCATTTTTCTCATGTCTCTCTCCATTTCCCGGCGTAATGTGTTCTTTGGTCTTCCCCTCCTACTTTCGCCTTGACGATTCCACGTGAGGGCTTGTCTTGTGATGCAGTTGAGTGCTTTCCTCAATATGTATCCTATGCCACTTCCAGCACTTCTTCCTGATTTCTGTCTCCTCTGGAATCTGGTTTCTTCTCTCCCACAGTGCGTTGTTGCTAATAGTGTCCGGCCAACGGATCCGAAGTATTTTGCATAGACAATTGTTAATAAACACCTGTATCTTCTGGATGATGGCTTTCGCAATTCTCCAGCATTCCGCCCCATACAACAGAAGAACTGTCTTGACATTTGTATTGAAAATCCTGACCTTGGTGTTGGTTGACAGTTGCTTTGAGTTCCAGATGTTCCTCAGTTGTAAATATGCTGCTCTTGCTTTACCGATCCGCGCCTTCACATCTGCATCAGATCCACCATGTTCGTCAATGATGCTGCCCAAATATGTAAAGGTTTTTACATCTTCCAAATCTTCTCCGTTAATTGTGATCGGATTGGTGCATGCTGTGTTGTATTGGAGAATCTTGCTTTTCCCTTTATGTATATCGAGACCTACTGCTGCTGAAGCTGCTGCTACACTAGTCGTCTTTTTCCGTATTTGATGTTGCATTTGTGATAGGAGGGCCAGATCATCTGCGAAGTCTAGATCGTCCAGCTGAATCCTATCTGTTCATTGTGTCTCATAATTACACCCACATTTTGACATCTTCCTGATCCAGTCGATCACCAGGAGAAAGAGAAAGGGTGAGAGTAAGCAACTTTGCCCGACACCGGTTTCTACTTCGAACGGGTCTGTCAATTGTCCTCCATGCACAATTTTGCAGTTAAATCCATCATATGAATTCCGTATGATATTGACTATCTTCTGAGGCACGCCGTAGTGTCGAAGAAGCTTCCATAGTGTTGTCCTGTTCATGCTATCAAATTCTTTCTCGTAGTCAATGAAGTTAATGTAGAGTGATGAATTCCATTCAACTGATTGTTCCACAATGATCCGTAGAGTTACGATTTGGTCTGTACAGAATCTATCCTTCGGGAATCCTGCCTGTTGGTCACGAAGTTGGGCGTCTACGCAGTCCTTCATCCTGTTTGACAATACCCTGTTAAAGACTTTTCCCGTATTGAGAGAAGAGTGATGCCCCTGTAGTTATTACAGTTGCTGAGATCGCCTTTCATTGGTATTTTGACCAGAGGTCCTTCTTTCCAGTCTTTTGGTACTTGTTCCTCATCCCAAATCTTATTGAAGGGAATGTGGAGTATCCTTGCAGTTACCACTACGTCTGCCTTCAGTGCCTGTGCTGGAATGTTGTTTGGTCCTGCTGCTTTGCCACTCTTGATTGTCTGATGGCCATGCTGATTTCTTCAATTGTTGGTGGCCAACATCGGTTGGGAGGTTCGTGTGTGCTGCTTCGATATTGGGTGGGTTCAGTGGGGCTGGTCGATTCAAGAGTTCTTTGAAGTGTTCTACCCACCTGTTTCGTTGTTCTTCAATGTTGGTGATTACCGTGCCTTCCTTGCTTTTCACTGGTCGTCCTGGTTTACGGTGAATTCCAGAGAGTTTCTTTGTTATGTCATACAGTTGTCTCATGTTTCCTTCTCTTGCAGCCTTTTCCGTCTTCAAAAACTATACAATCAACGTTTAATATTCATAACTTGAATGTACGTACGGTGTGACTATATTTTATGTACAACATTTGAGTGACGATAAATTGACCTTGATAATGTTCACCTGCTAACTAGGACCAAATGAGGGTTATAAATCAGTGTGAGAGATTAGAGTTATGATGTTTAGGGTTCGGAACTAAAGATAAAGTTTTAATCACGAACTAACATGAGCTAAAATCGTATAACGCTCTTTAGTCAAATGGATGAATGAATTTCGTGCCAAAATCGAAGACATGTTATTTTATACCTAATTAGTTCGTTCATAAAATTTTGTTAGAACTTCATCACACTATCGTAAGCTGACTAAAGCTGCAAATGTAAAACATCGGATACCAACTCAGTCGTCCAACATTTATAAGCGTTTACCACGAGGATTGACGACTCTAAGTTTCATCCTTGGTGAGTTCATATGTCTGTGAACTGTAAAATTGTCTCATGATAAGATGGAACAGATGTCCAGTTCATCTTACTTTGCAATCGTCGTCTAACTAAAGTCAGCTAGTAACATAAAATCACACTATTCTCATCAAACTGGAAGATCAGTTGATATACTTTGAGACATTCACATGTAAACCACTTCCTTAGAACTTATGATTTTATTACTAAAACAATTCTTTTTCAAATATACACACGTTTTTTTTAGGTTTTAACATACATTCGAAATTATATTACTATTAAACCGATATATTTCAATACAACTCAATATGGATTTCAAATTGAATTTTTTAAAAATTCATTTACTTTTAATCAACAAAAGTCCATAAACAAAGAGACCATTAATTCTCAGATCGTATCCAATAGTAACGGTGAGACATTCAAAGAAATCTGCTCAACGAAAAACGATCAATTCTTTGATTCTTTGAAAAAGTCCAGTGACATTTCAAAGTTCATTAAACATGCAAAAAATTACCCATTCAATGAAGAAAGTATCAAATGTAATCATCATACTTTGTCTATTACTGAAGAGAAATCATCAGTACAATTACTAAAAGACAACAATCAAGAAGTTATTATGACTAAAAATAAATTAAATAACATCAATAAGAATGATACAGATCTTTATTTAAAAAAAGAACCGGTCAGTTTGAAATGCATTCCTAAACCTACTGAACTTGAACCTACAACTGTTGATGATTTAAAACAAACTGGAAATCAGATCAATAAGAAGATGTCAATTCGTAGATCGCGTTATGTTTGATATGAATTCACTGACTGTTAATATTTTACATTCTCAGTATATTCTTTTTTGTTGAACATTTATCATATTCCCATCTGAAGTTGTTTTACTATAAGCGCCATTCAAATATGGGATCAAAATTATTTTAAAGTGTAATAATTAGACATAAAGAAGAATTGATAAACTTTTAGTCAAATGTTCTCATTTCTCTAGTCATTGTCTATGTAGATAATAGTGTTATATCCTAGTGAAGATTACATTACGAGTAACCTCTGAGACCTATTAGTGAATTAATATTATCTATATATTTTTATGGTATAACTATTCAATAATTAGATTATGTATATTTATATTCCCTTGTTATAAGCTTTATTTTGACCTATAATTTATTATTGTACGCTTTACGGTTCTTAAGTTATGTTCAGTTTATTGACTACTGCCTCCCACGTTCACATTCACTTTTTGGCTTTATTGTGTACAAATGTTATTTCCTATTTTATGGTGCGTTGCGGTTTGTTTGTTTGATATATAAACCCAGTATGTCTGAAATAAATGATTCGATTCGATTCATATTACAGAAGCTGCTATTGTGTTCCGGACTCAAGTGGACGGTCTAGGCGGACATAGGACCAATAAGGACGCTAGGCTGCTCATGCCGCTCGAACGTCATTGGTTTGGCACTATGTGAAGTTTGTATAAGTCATATTTTGATCGGTGAATGAATCACGTGATAAAAGCCGGACATAAAATCATAACAAAGAGATGATTAATTATTATCATATTCTGTTTTACTAATAGTTATGTTTCTCATAATGAACTGTTGATTGATCTTGTATTTCTTCTGTTATATTACTGCTCAATTTCAATTGATTCTTTACACTTTAATTTTTTCGTTTGCTTTACTGATTTCTCACAGGTTAAATGTTAAATGATGACTTTTTATGATTAACATTATTTGGTATCTGGTTTATATTATTGCAAAAAGTATCAGTCAACAATAGATATCAGTTTTCGAAACGCTGAAATCTATTTTTGTGTCTTGAAAATTGAAATAAAGCATAAAAATACTTGTGAAGATGCCACAGGTATTCGGAGTTTGACAACGCTTTAACTGGTAACACCTGATATGAATCGTACCCACCAAGTGAAATCAAAAGACAGAAGCGAAGTGGTCCGAAGATATATTTGATAGGCTATCATCATATCGAGGATCGTCTGATCTAATCTAGCTAGCGATTGCATGGGTTGTTAAGCAGGGCGTTCCAACTCGTGATTTGGTGCGGATGCATGACCGAGCGCCTTCAGCTAGTTGAGTCCATTAAAACTAATGTGGTCAGCATTCAATGTTGAAGACTTACAGAGCTATTTATTTTGGGGATTAATTTACCGCTACATTTGAGCTACCTGTTCCTATCATCTGGATATTTTCAACAAGTTATCTGTTTTCTTATTTGTTTTAACACATCGTTATGATCATTAGTCGCCTAACCTATAGAGGAGCGTTTGTGAAACGTTTAAGACATTTTGTTGCATAAGTTACAGAAAGGTGAATCAGGGATATCGCGATCGCGGCAATATGCATAGAAAACAATGTATATTATTCAAATGACAATTCCTGAAATGCTAACATTTAGTTGGCGATCACTCAATATTTATCGTCAGTGTAGATCAAGAAATAAGGAAAGGAAACTTGTTGAAATACTTTGTGCTGAGAATTCTGCATTGTACCAAAAATGTATTGAATAAAGACAATAATAATATATAATGCATGAACTAGTTTACTTCATGGGTTTTTTAATCACTTCAACGTTGAATGTAACTGTACCCTTCCATAATATTCTTAAGTTGTTGACCTTTTACGATTTCATTACATTTGTTAAGACTCTTGGCCAAATATATATTAGCGAAACAGTCTCGCCTGTAGCTTCAATATATAACCGTTTATTCATTGAGGAATACCACAAACTAGATCGTAAAACTTGGGCAAGTAGTTTTCATTCCTTATATTTTGAAGATATCACGAATATTCAGTAATTGATATCGTTTTTGATATTAACATTGGTCATCGATGATCCTAAAGCCAATCAAACTAGAGCTCAGCAATAAAATGTTTTGAAGCTATATTCTGAGGATGGTCGATGTGTCGAGAAGTACATGACTTGAACTGTAACTAATGAGAATGCACTGTCAAAGCATATGTAATAATATATATTATTAATATATATATCTGTGTAGTTGCAGTCATGTTAATTGTCACGTACTGTCCTCCAGGTTGCCATACTGAATTCTTCATTCATAATCAAATTTCTGATAAACTCAACTGAAGTGAATTTCAGTATTTCGCCAGTCAAAGCATATGTGTATTTCCAGGTGTTTCGGATACTTCGCCTGTTTCCTTCTTTAAACTGCACCTCGATCCTTCCTTAGTGGAAAATACCTTTCGTTTGACAAGTGACCGGTCCATGTTTTTGACGACTGGACAACTTTATATATTACGGGTCTTTTTTATAAACTGTTATGAGAGTTAATGAATGTGCCTGTTGGAGACACTACTTAACTCTTTTTATACATACATTTAATTCTTTGACAAAACTTTTGTACGCCTCTATATCATGTTCGTATTTTTAATTTTTTACCACTTACTACCATATCATGCAGTAAGACCGAAAAAACAGTAAACTTTGGAGCCAGCAAGATATGACTACTGAAATTCGTAAAATCCTTGGTTGCACGGCAAGTTCTAAATCGATGGTGGTATATTTGCTTTATTAAAAAGTTTGCTATGTTGTCAACGATGCTCGTTAGGTTTTTAAAATACGACACTTTGGGCAATGACTTTTTCTTGTTGACAGAGATGAAATGATTCTATCAATTAACTTAATTCGGTACTCCTTCCTTGTGTATACTCATCGACTTAAATCATGTTAGTGAATGACGCAACTTAATAAGTCATATATGAGAATGGATGTTTGAAAACATAGGTTTTGTACACGCAATGATCTGGACAGACAGTCAGAGGAATGAAGCGAAGAGAAGAAAGCAAAGTGAAATAACATGCGGAGTAGGCTCATGAGCCACCTGATTTAATCAAGAGTTAATCATTATTTACAGTCAGGTTATAGACATGTGATTAATGGGATAAGAGGTGAACACACATGCACTCAAATAAAAACAGTCAGGGTGGACAAGTGAATGATTAACAAGTTCAAAATGTGAATCAAGAATGAACAGACTGTCTTTTCTAAAAGCTGGAATAAGCTATGTGGGCTTCACATAGCAACCGACACTGGAGTTAATATAGAACCAAAGTCAACTTGGTCACTTTTAAAATTACTTAGTGATTAATTGGCATCTGATATGCTCTCACTTTTCTCGTCCTAAAAAGCACAGAATTTACGAAGACGCTATAAAAGTATTTGCAAACACAGAACGAATTACTTGTTAGCTGACTATCGAATTTCCCACACTCACCAACAAATGAAACTCATTGCATCAACACGTCATTGAAGCTCCATCTACCAACGTTTTCAAAACGAAGTCGAATCAATTAAGTAACTATAACTTTCAGTGTTAAAACAGGACACTGGACCTCCAGTCTGCTCCAAAAGAAACTTCAAATGGTTCAAATGTTTGTGGACGGAATAGAAGAAGCTTCCGCTTAACAGGTCTCCGTGTCTAGTAGCGGAGATCACGAATAACTCCAGGCAGGAACCGACGTATGTTAACGATAAAAGAGGAAAAAGAAACAGGTAGATCAAAGTAATATACTATCCGTAATCCTTAAGAATAGATCAAGTTGCACCTTAGAGAAATCCTGGGAAATCGCTTGGACTAGCTCGGCCGGCAGTGAATTCCAGCATTTGACAACTCTTAAGGTGTAGAGGTTGTGTCTACAATCCGTTCTTCTATGTTGTGTCTCCAGTTTTTGGGTGCTATCCCTTAGGTTAGTGTTAGAACCAAGCTTAAGTAGGTGTTTAAGGGGATGTCTAGAAGTGTTAATGATACTGTAAGCCATCAAAAGGTCACCTCTAAGACGCCTATAATCTAATGGGTATAGGTTAAGTGATTGGAGGTGCTCTTCATAAGGTTTGAATTTGAGTCTTCGAACTGATTTCGTGGCTCGCTGTTAGATACGATCCAGAGTGTACTTATCCTTTTAGAGTGAGGGAGGAAATACTATATTTCTGTACTCTAAATGGGGACGGATAAAACTGTTGAAGATTATATGTAAAGTTCTTCCGTCAAACTGGCCAAAAATGCGTTTCAATGTTACCAGTGCAAGGTTTGCTCCCCATCCGATCAGCGATGCTTGTTCATCTGTCCACCGCAGTCAGCAGGTCGGTCACATAAGATTTACCCTTCCTGAAACCATGCTGTTGGGGTGAGAAGAAATGTAAGGAAAGTAAATAGTCATGCATACCATCGCATATCAGGGACTCCATGAGTTTTGAAGGCATAGAGAGAAGAGCCACCGGCCGTTAACTTGAAGTTCCATTGCGTCGACCTCCTTTGAAAGTTGGTATGACGTGAGCCAGCTTCCAATTTTCCGGTACTTTTCCTCGACTTAGCGAGTGTGAGAACATCACGCTAAGCGGCATTGCCAATATTGAGGCTGCCTCCCTCAGTATAGCAGAATGGACTATATCTCGGCCAGGAAACGTGTCTTTTCTTAGGTGATGCAGCATCCGGAACACCAACTCCGTGCTCAGGTTCACTACGGAAAGTCCTTTGGAGTTGCAGATGAAGCTGTCATCAGTATAGTTGATGTGGGTGAGTTGAAATGTCCGAGAGTACCGTTCAGCCAAAAGGTTAGCAGCGTCGCCGTCGTTAGGACCTAGCAGTTGAGAAAATCCAGTTTTGGCTTAACGAAGAGAGGCTGCATAACGGAATAAACTTTCCGGATTAGAGACAAATTTATCCATAAGCTTTGTCTGGTACTGAAGCCTGTCTTCTCTTATAGCCTTCGTGCATATGATCCTTACGTGTCTGTATTGCATGTACACTCCGTTGTTGTCAGTTCG